AGGGCTTGGGATTTAGGGTTGAGGGTTTGGGAGTTAGGGTTTAGGGTTTGGGATTTAGGGTTTAGGGTTTGGAATTTAGGGTTTAGGGTTTGGGGTTTGAGGTTTGGGGGTTAGGGTTAGGGCTTAAAGTTTACAGGGTTTAGGGGCATAATTACAGGGCTTGAAAGGAGGGTTCAGAGGGTTTCTAAGGCTCACAGGGTCAATTGATGGGGTTCGGAAATTGTAGGGTTATAGGGTTATAGGGCTTATGGGGCTCAGAAATTGTAGGGTTATAGGGCTTATAGCGTTGACGGAGTAGAGCGTCTGTAGGGCTTAGGGCTTGGGGTTTAAGGCTTGTAGGGTTTCTAGGGCTTGGGGTCTAGGGTTTGTAGGGCGCATAGGATTTACAGAGTTTTCATGGCTTAGGAAGGGTCTGCATGTAGGCTTTAGGGTCCTTGGAGTTCAGGGATGAGAACAGAGAGCCGTATACTCATACCGTTGGGCAAGGAATGTACCTCACATAATCCTTGGATCCCTGGTACGATATAAGATATACATTATACGGTAGTTTCCCAAAGTTAGGGGACCCCACTATAGCCACCAAAATGCTATAATCCTTATTATGGGGACCCCCAATAAGGTACCCCTAATTTGGGAAATCCCCATATATTCGCTCATTAACTTCAAATTAAAGGGAACTGGGCCTCCTCGGGATGTTGGCCCATCTTATGTTTTTGTGCGTGCTGTTTGTCTTGAGTTGTTTTTGGCTCTGCTCGTCGTTTGACACCCTAAACCGTAAACCCTTAAACCCTAAACCCTGAACCCTAAACCCTGTATTCAAGAAGCCTCAAGCACAGAAGATTTTTTAAAGATCCCTTGAGGCTTCCCTTTTCGAGCATCCAGACGAGACAGTTCAGCCGACTCTTCGATTTTTCAGGGTGGCCCAACCCTAAACCCTTAAAGTTCTAAAGCCCAACACCCCAAGCCACACATCCTAAACTAGGTAGCTTGAGGGCCGTGAAAAACATGGCTTTGCAAGGATTATATCAGGGTTAAGGGCAATAGAACCCTAAACCCTAAACCTTCAAATCTTCAAGGCCAGAAGTCAACTTCAAAGTCAATTTACAAATCCGACGAATCTGGGGTTCAGGGTATTAGGGTGTAGGGATCAATCCAAATCTTAGGGCATAGGTACTGGAGTTTAAGGTTTAAACTCCCTGGACTCCTAGATCCTTCCTAGGGCTTAGGGTTTTTGGGTTTAGGGCCTTTGAGAATGAAATCAGCTACTTTAGGCGAGAAGTCTGTACAAAATCGCCGCAAAATTCTCGAGAGTCTGCGTAGCCCTTCTTTCGCCGTGAGCTCTCGTAAAGCACTCTTGTCTTGAGAGCCTGCCTAAACCCTCAACCCGCAGCTCCGCACCACAGCTGCCGCAGAACGCAAAGCCACAAACTCCCAAACATTGAGCTCTTAAACCCAAATGCCAGTTGGAGGTTCACGTGCACTTATAAGTCGGTGGTAAGAAACCTGCAAGCATAATTTGCAGCCTGCGGCCACGGCCAGGGCGGTCAAGGCTGTGCCTCTTCATGCTGCAATCAGGGTTTAGGGTTTATGGTTTAGGATCAGGGTTTGCAGGGCATGCGAGTTGTTGGGGTCAGGAGTTCGCAGGTACATTGAAGGATTCAGGGCCTGATAATCGATGCACAGGCTTAGGCGTGAATAGGGGGTAGTTGGAGGGTCTAGGAAGATACCCCTTAACCCTAAGCCTAAACCTTGAACTGCAGAGAATAAGATGTGAAATGGCAGAGCCGCGGAAGTTGCTGTCAAACGATTGGCGGCATAACCAAGTGGTAGTTGTCCAAATGATGGCCCTGTTTTGGGTTCCTAGTATGATACAGCTGTGTTCTGACAACCACCCCAAATCCTGTCCCGTGGCGCCGTCAGCATTGCCGAAAGTAGGCTGGCTTTCTGCTGCATAATGTTGCGCAAGTTCGTCTAAACCCTAAACCCTAAACCCTAAACCTTGGGTACTGCCCCCACCCAGTAACAGTCTATATTAGGGTCCTATTAAAGGCTATATATAACCAACCCTAAACCCTTAAACCGCGTCTGCCGGCATCCTGTGAGGAGAAGACATCGCAGAATCCATCGCAGGGGCTCCAACAAGGCTCTCAAACCCTAAGGGTCCAAGGACCCAAATAATAGGGCTCTAGGGCCCAAGGACCAGTGATATTAAAGTATTTTGGCCCTAAAACCCTATTATTTGGGTCTTTGGACCCTTAAGGAAAAGGATCATTCCGCTCTCCTAACCCACTGTTGTGTGTATGGGATGCTAGGAAGATGGAGAAGTACGGATATGTGCCCTACAAGCTGGGACCAATAAGTCTAAGGGACCATACGACCCAAATAAAAGGGCTTTAGGACCCAAATACCAGCAACACTCTAGTATTTGATTTGGGCCCTAAAACCCTATGATTTGGGTCCTTGGACCCTTATACATAACTCAGAACCACCACAACGAAAAGGGACAGTCATCATGATAAGTTAGGCTATGTACGATAGCCCTATGTCAACCTTAGAGTAGTCCAGAGCGGCCATTCAGACACGCACCACAAAAACCTAAACACGAACACGAATTAAAGCATAATCCCTCAGTTAGACCGAATCAAGGCTGATCTCCATAAAGCCCGATCTCCATTTCATTTGCCATGTTCTTTTCGACTTGACTTTCCATTACCAAAATCCTTTTCATTGAAGAATGCCTCCTGGAAAGCAATCCTAAACTCTAAATCCTGCTCTGAACCGTGATCAGGTCCAATATGCAGCTCCACCCAAAAAATATATAATTTTCACTTTAAGATTTAAGGTTAGTTTCACGTTCCCTGATATGGACTCCTTTCTTATGCAGTCCTTCTTTCGCGTTCCTAAGGCAACTCGCAAAAACGGTCACCCGCAATACAGTTACAATTTGAAAGCACTTGCCTCACATCATCCGCCTCAACCGTCTAAAACCCGCAGCCCACCCCACAGCTTTGCTTTGCTTGTTGGGTTCTGACAGAGCCCACTATGGGCCCCAGTTTGATGGTCAGGGGCTTGAGTCGGTGAAGGATGGGATAAGAGCCCCCCTGTCCCTCCCAGTACCCAGATCCCTCGAAAGATCCAGAAAGTATAAACCCTATTAGTTACAATATATACCCATTATGGTAACTTAATTTAAGTTCCTTAACCCTAAACCCTAAACCCTATACCCCCCTTGGGGGGATCCACTTTCTAGATCTCTCAGGCGTCTGGGTGGAGCCTATCCCTAAGGGTCCAAGGACACAAATAACAGGGCTTTAGGGCCCAAATACCAGTACTATTAAAGTATTTTGGCCCTAAAACCCTATTATTTGGGTCCTTGGACCCTCATATAGTCCCCATATATCCCTAGATATCCCCAGGGACCCTATTATTTGGGTCCTTGGACCCTTAGGGTATAGCAGAGGTTTCATTGGCTTCTGAGGGCCGGTGGCCTCTCATAGGGCGTAGCCGCCAGCGACGGAAGTCCATGGCGACTAGCTCGGACTTTTTGAAGGAAATAGTACCCTAAGGCTCCTAGGACTATTTGGGGCTTTCTGGGGGAAGGTTGGGCTTTGGGGGCTAAGGTTTGGGATCCCACTTTGAGGGTCCAAGAGCCTTAGGTAATTCTCGAAGTTAGGGAAGAAGCAAGGGACTGAGCATGTGGAGCTGAAAGTGTTTAGGGTCCATCGCCAAAGTTGGATTTGTTGGCGCGCAGCCTTCTTAGATACCATGGAGGGTGTGCCTGACTCTCGCCGTAAGCAGTTGTGTGCGGGGGAGGATAGGAATCCTAGCTCGAAACATAGGGTTTAGGGTTTAGGGATGTGACTTTCCCTAAGGGTCCAAGTACCAAATAATCATATACTTACCCCAAAACCTGTACTAAAAGTACTATTACCCTTAAACCAGCTACCTAATTACTAGGTACTTGGACCCTCTGGGTTTTGCACCAAGAAGACTCATTGTCAGAGTGTATATCCAAGTAGCAAACACCAGTGAAGAGACCATTTCCCTACTTGG